GTACTAATCATCACATTTTATTGAGACTTGCAACATAGATCTTCTAGGACTATGCAGAGACCTGATTAATTTTGGGGTAAATAATTGTGCATATTAATTACCTAATTTCATAATTAGTTAATTTTTTGCTGTTCCATGGCTGTTGCACTGATGTCTAAAGAACTACTCATTGGATTTTAGTGACACTTTTAAAGAGTACTGATCATCATATTTCAATGAATCTAGGACTATACACCATAATAGTTTTTGGTAAATATTTATGCTTCTTAATCACCTAATTAACATAATTAATTAATTAATACTTGTATCTCAAGTACTGATCATCACATTTGAATAAAATTTGGTACATAAATGCTCTAGGACAGTAGGCAGCCTGATTAACTTTGGGTTAAAATCTGTTCATATTAATTCACTAATTAGCATAATAATTAATATTTTTTTGGTTCTAATCACATTTCAATGAAACTTGGTACATAGATATTATATTACAAAATTCTTATTACTTTTACATTGTGCAGACCTTATTAGTTTTACACTTAAATCTGTTCATATTAGTTACCTTATTTGCATAAGCTTTTCCATCAATATCTCAAGTTCAAGTAATTTTTAATTAATTTTGAATGTGTCTCCAATACTCTCAGCACACGGGAGTTCTTTCTAAGCTTTCTTTGATTGTAATTTTGATTTTTAAATTACCGGTACATGCAATGGCCAATCATTTTTAAACTTCACATACAAGTATGATTCATGCTAAACGTTGTCGTGTCAGTGACATACCAAATCCATATGTGCATATTACTGTATTGTGTGTACGTTGCTACCATGCAAATTGGACAGTAATTATTCAGTAATTTACATTCAGTTAATATTTGAATTTCCTAATTCTTTTCCCACTCAAAAGAATTAGGTTTTTATAATGAGCTTTATAATCTTATTCATAGTTTAAAAATGTATTGTTTGCAAATTTAAATATTTATTTGTCCACCACAGCACTATCGTCATGTCGACAACGTCTTGTTTGAAAATCCACGACTGTTTGATCGTTTCATCGATTACTGGAGGAAATCTGGCAACCAAAGAGCTGGACTTTTATATGGTCGTTATGAGTACCATGAGAGCGTGCCATTGGGTATCAAAGCCAGTGTTTCTGCAATCTATGAACCACCACAGGTATTGAACGACACACACTTTATTGTCATACACTGTACTGCTGCTGGGTATCAAAGCCAGTGTTTCTGTAATCTATGAACCACCACAGGTATTGAATGACACACACTTTATTGTCATACACTGTACTGCTGCTGGGTATCAAAGCCAGTGTTTCTGTAATCTATGAACCACCACAGGTATTGAATGACACACACTTTATTGTCATACACTGTACTGCTGCTGGGTATTAAAGCCAGTGTTTTTGTAATCTATGAACCACCACAGGTATTGAATGACACACACTTTATTGTCATACACTGTACTGCTGCTGGGTATCAAAGCCAGTGTTTCTGTAATCTATGAACCACCACAGGTATTGAATAACACACACTTTATTGTCATACACTGTACTGCTGCTGGGTATTAAAGCCAGTGTTTCTGTACCGGTAATCTATGAACCACCATAGGTATTGAATGACACACACTTTATTGTCATACACTGTACTGCTGCTGGGTATTAAAGCCAGTGTTTCTGTAATCTATGAACCACCACAGGTATTGAATAACACTCACTTTATTGTCATACACTGTACTGCTGCTGGGTATCAAAGCCAGTGTTTCTGCAATCTATGAACCACCACAGGTATTGAATAACACACACTTTATTGTCATACACTGTACTACTGCTGGGTATCAAAGCCAGTGTTTCTGCAATCTATGAACCACCACAGGTATTGAATAACACACACTTTATTGTCATACACTGTACTGCTGCTGGGTATTAATGCCAGTGTTTCTGTAATCTATGAACCACCACAGGTATTGAATAACACTCACTTTATTGTCATACACTGTACTGCTGCTGGGTATCAAAGCCAGTGTTTCTGCAATCTATGAACCACCACAGGTATTGAATGACACACACTTTATTGTCATACACTGTACTGCTGCTGGGTATCAAAGCCAGTGTTTCTGTAATCTACTAACCACCATAGGTATTGAATGACACACACTTTATTGTCATACACTGTACTGCTGCTGGGCATCAAAGCTAGTGTTTCAAATATCAAATATTTTGTTAATTTTACAATTGGTCTGCACTGATACTAAAAATAACTGAATGTATGACATATAATTGTTAAATTATATGTGGGTGGGTGGGGTAGCATGACCTGAAACGTTCCATCCACATTGAACAGCGCCCTCTAGTGCCAATCCTCCTGCATATGACTATGGTTGGTACCATGAAACCAGTTATAAAATGACACCCCTTGTTGACTTACAAACCCTGTCTAATGTGCGGTTGACAAAAGAGCAATAACGAAAAAATTTGTTATATATTTATCACTAGGACTGTACACCCAATAGTATTGAGTTCTTAGATGATCCGCATGGCTCAGTGGTAGATGAAATTGCAGGTAAACTAGGACTTCGAAAGGTAAGATAAATGTGCTGCTGCCAGGCACAAATCCCCCATCATCAGAGTGTGACGTCACAGAAGTCTAACCGTTTTATTTTACTGCTACCACCAAGCTATGGTACCGTAACAATATATAATTATGTCGGCAGATATTTTGTGTATCTTGACCAGTCATTGATTCAAATGTGGTCATTACTCATGTTCGTTAGACTCTAATCAAAAGATAAAGTTTTATATAATAGAGCAAATATACAGGAACTGTAACAACAAATACACTTGTGATTCTGAGTGCATTTTCACTAAAACTCAATACAATTTATAACAAATGTTAAATACACCTCATTAAGTGCATTGGCAAATGGATTATCCTTGCAAAGACTTTTGTGTACTGCAAATATACAGACATTATTGATTGTAATGATCATCTTATTTTGAAATAGGTGGGATGGATATTTACAGATCTTGTTGCAGAAGACCTTCGGAAAGGCACAGTAAAGCATGTCAGAAACATGGTTAGTATGTCTACCTCATTGTCTGTATGTGTGTGTGCATGAATGCGTGTATTATTTCATGTACATGTCTGTAACGATATTGTTTAGAGTTTTTACAAAAACAAGTCAATTGTGGTGAGTTACTGATGCATTTTGTTTTGTTGGTTTTATTCAAAATGGCTGACTGGTGGCCATTTTGTTTATGTGTTCTATTCTTGTCTCAGATACACTTTCATTGATTTTGTTTAAATGGGGAACAAAGGCAAGACATAATGGTGTGAATGTTCTTTTTAGTTGGATTTTGATGAAATTTAACTATTAAACCAATTGATAATCTTGTATTTGATTTCAAACAGGATGCTCATTTTCTTAGTGCCGAAGAATGCATCATGGCCGGTGAATTTCAGAATCAAAATCCTAACAAATGTAAATTAGCAACAGATGGAAATTTTGGATCCAAATTTGTTACTGTTATTGTTACAGGTGAGTGCAGTGCGTCTAGTCAATATTTGCTGAGTGATCTTTTTTTGTCACTAATTTGAAACAAAATACATGTTTCTTGTGTGTGTCAGGTGTTTAAAATTAAAGTGCCTGTGCAATGCCCCCACCCACACGCTTCCCATTTTAGATCTGTGCCCCACTGAAATGGGCAATTATTTTTTTTTTTGCTGAAAATAATTACTCGTATCCAAGTAAATTTGAGATATTTCCCGAGCTGTAGCCATGCCCACCTATCCTGAAATGGTCGACTGTTTCTGGATTTCCGACTCTCGCCGAAAGTGCGCCACCAAATGCTAAAGTATGAGAGTAAGCCATACCTCTGGGTCGTACTTTTATATCACTGTGTCATTCAACATACTTTTAAACGATATACATTTTTTGATCGGCGTTTCCTTTTTTAGCTCCGCTGTCGACTTTGAAGGGAGAGAGACGTTGAGTGAGTGTTTCAAATGATTTGATTTTTTTTTGCGACCCTGATTATCGCTTTATAGAAACCACCCATGTTATGTAAAAGCATGGTTACTCTTTTTTAGTAACCGTGGTAAAAGGTAGCAGTAATTTTGATAATGACACGAAAACGAAGCGTCAGACAAACAGGAAATTATGCAGTCCTCAGGCTGTTTTTATTTTCACAGGCTAAAGTGTCTGAATTGTTCGGTGATTGGTGTTGAATGTCGAAGTCACACCTTTGTTGCCTTTACTTGCAGCTTGATCTGCGTAATATTTTATGGAATAAGAATTCGGGCTTGGGCTGTCAATGTATTTTTTTAATATAATGTCATAATTATGAAAATCACGCTAAATCCACTCTGAATTGTCTGTATGTGAGTCGCTCTCAATTATTTTTGTTATCCAATTAAACGCTGCCATTCACGCACTTGTCCCCATCATGACCCGAAGTGTTCACCCATTACAACAAATTTATTTCCACGCGGCAGTCATTTATTTAGTAACTGTGTTTTGTCGGGTTTTTTTTTTTAAATTATTTCTCTATTTTATTAATCACTTTAATTTTGAACGTGTTTTTTTACTCAGACGATCGATGAAATAAAACAGTATAGTGACGTGCCTAGTAACCTGCTAAATAACAAGACGATTCAGGCATCAAATTTGATTTTGTCCAATGTCCAGCAACAGTGTACAAACGTGCGCTGGTGACGGTGACGACCACGGTGACTAGCTACACCAGACCGGACATATTTCGCATCTGACTCAACCCCATGTAACAAACTTGATACTATGTGTTCATTATGGTCTATTCTTCCTCAACGAACAAGTACATAAGTGGCAATTTAGTCAAAGACGAGAAAACAGCACAAGAAATTTGCCTTATTTACACGTATCGGCAATGTAAGCTACCCAGCAACTTCCCCTTCTGACATCACAGGGGGAATTTCTGTATGCAAATGAGAAGCTAATGAGGAGCCTCGTTTTAAAATACACAAAAATAAAGTTGCTGTAGACTGGGGTTAAAACGCATTTTTTCACTTTAAAAAAATAATTTATGCTTAGAAACATAAAAATTAATAATATTTATGTATTAATGGATAATTTTAGGTGTGAAAATAGCAGCACTTTAAAGGCCCAGGTATACTATAAATACGCTACTAAACAATAGGGATT